CAAGGCCTGTGTATAAGCATAGATATGTTGATTACAAACATTGTCTTGTACAAGTTACATATGATAGTTACATACAGCTATGTGTACATTTAAACATTATCTGAATTCATATTTACAATATTACTGAGATACTGATAAGATTAATTTAAGTAAACTTGTAATTCATTTACATATTGAATGGATTTTCAATATCATTTAAACTGCTTTACAATATTATTTTTATCAAGTACATACAAACTGGATAGTAATATGCTTACATTACAATAGTTTTGCTCTTACAATCCTGTTACTATTCTATGGGGTGGGCTATTTTTGTAGTGTTGATTTTCAGTTGTTGTAGTATTTTGAATTGCTATTAAAATTATGCTGCGAAGATACAATTCTCAAGGGAGGGGGAGAATTTCTTAGTACCTTGCTGAGCATAGCCTGATTATCTTCTCTATTTTAGTTTTCGTCTACTTGTTGGCGCAGGTATTTTCCGCCCATTGCAGCCAGTCAAACATTTTACTAAACGCTTAAGAAATGAAAACGGCTATTATGCCAGAAAGCCAAGAGTTTGTGTTTCATTATCTACACCATAGAAGAGGGATCGGTTTAATTGGTGAAAAGAAAATCAGATAATGATCACTAATGCGCCCATGTTTCTCTTTACTAATGAGCTTGGATTTAGTTTAATATCTAATTCTAAACGTGATTACATCTGTAGAGAATCGAGAAAGCAAAATATTAAATTCGAACATTATGGAACGCTAAAGTTTCGGTAATGCAGGTGTGATGGTATGGGGAGGAATAGTGGCTGACGGACGTACTCTCGTACACGTTTTTAACAGAGTATCTGTGACCGACCAGAGATAGCGAAATGAGGTTTTAGAACCTTATCTAAGATTTTGCAGGAGCTGCATATGGATCTGTCTTTTTATTTATAATGATAATGCTCGTCCACATTGAGCAAATCTTGACGAATTCCTTGAAAGGGAAGACGTTAATCGAATACCGTAGCCAGTAAAATCTTTCCTGGTCTTAACCCAATAGAACACACGTGGGTCGACCTCGAAGAAGCAGCTGCACGGAGACATTCTGCTCTTAGAGATGCAAATGATCTGAAGGCCGCATTGCTAGAGGAAGGGACCTTTATTTGACAGATACGTTTAGCAACTCTACTGTCAGCATGAAAACACATTTTACATACAAGCGTATTGTATATAAGTCAAGAATGATCACAATCCACATTAAATTCATAAGTCTTAATTTTTACTGAGTTAGTATTTCTTTTTCTGAACTTCTTTATTTAATTAACATATTATTACCATTCTAATAGTTTTATATCATATGCAGAGCTGTTACAATTTTTTCTTTTGTATTTATGTTGCATGATGTTATATGTCATTCCAAACAAATTTATAAAATTATAATTTACGGTTTCTGATATCCGTGATTTCGTGTATGTAAAGATAAATCTCACATCAGTGAAAAAAGTATATAAAACTTATAAAATATGCATTTTATTTTTAGAAGCCTCCTCTTTTCGTGTATGAGAGAAGAAAAGATGCAATTATTCAAAGGTGAAATAATCATCTGATTCTGAGCCAATACACTCTTCAACAACTCTTTTATCTATTTTGGGATAACGCTTGTTCATTATAGTTTCAAATCTTATCACCTTTTTAATATTTTAATATTTTCTATATTTGTACTCGGAAAGAGAACTTTTATATAATTTATATGTTAATATTCAAAATCATTTCATAATTACACAAATTAATCTATCAATCAATAAATAAATTAATTAATTTTTATAAAACAAACTTTAAGCATATAGTAGTTAAGACGATAATGTAATTTTAAATCAATACATAAGCTTCAATACTTATATCAATACTTAAACCATTAAAATAAATAATTAGCTCATAAATTTTATTTTTCCAATAGTAAATATTATGCTATTCGAAAATATTTAAACCAAAGTTTTAAAATTTTAACCAAAAAAAAAAAATCAAGCAGATCATAGCAGTTTCATTAAGTAGAAACGCAGCTTAATTTCACGAATAATTTATGTTAATTTAATATATCGAAAATAGTGGACGAAAAATATCTGGCCAGACATTTGTATGGAAACACTTCTACTGAATTTCAAGTATTGAAATTCCACATTTTTAAAACATTTATTAAATCACTGATGATATTAGATCACAATTCTTTATTCCAGTTCGAGATAAATTGCAAGCGAGAATTTGAAGAGATGGCTGTAAACTGTGCAGACATTGCATTGAAGAATTAAGTAACTGAGCATTAGTAATTCCGTCGATACAAACTTTTCGGTTGAGCCGAAGTTGATAGCATAGTTGCCAAAGATGACAGTCGACTCAAGAAGGACTAGATGCAGACGTTGCATCTTGAGCATTGTTTATTTCTGACATCATATTTTTAACGCAGCCGCAAATAACTTGGCACAAAAGCGTGCCTATTCTTGAAACGTTAGATGTGTTCTTACCTTTTCTTAGAAAAAAAAAATAATTTAGATGGAGAAAGATAAAGCGGCGACAACGAACTTGCCAACTAGAGATGTGAGAGAAGAATGCGACGTGTCCACCACACAAACCCAAAATTGTTAGAATAAGTTTAGCTTCCTCCTTACTGGTTATTAGGACAAAGGGGTATTAGCACTATTAGTCTCGAAACGGCATTTTGCCTCGGTTCACAATAAATGTCCGTTTCATTTTTCAAATAGTTGCCACCAATTATTATCGGCTTGCATTACATTTAAAAAAATGAAATAATGACGAATCTTCATGAATGTGTGAAGGTTTCTCGTACTGGGAAAAAACAACGGTACCTAGAGGCATCAAATTTTGATTAACATAGTCCTCCGCCCGAATATGGGCAACTGGAGGCCTGAATTTGGAATTTGTTTTATTGTCTACTTCATATTGTTTTATTGTCTACTTCATTTTGTAAAACTTTAACGAATTTTTGATTGAAAACTTAAAGATTTCCAAGCGAGTAATGGCAACACTCTACGGCATGAAACATTTTTAACTCCAGCGCGCGCCAGAGATTGTATGTTGTTTTTTAAATATTTTGCGATTTTGCTTTTGAATCGATTTTTTTTTGTGGCGTAAGAGCCAAGAACAGCATGTATTTAAAGTAAACACACAAACATTAATAATAAAAAGACAAAAGTTTTCTAAAGCTATCTCAGTAAGAAAACTGAACACAGATATGATGATCTGAGAAAAGACTGAAAATGTTTGCCAACACTTAATACTGCATCGGCAACTCTAATACGTATACTGTTATGCTGCTTTTAAAACTTTTGTAATTTTGCTGTTGAATTGTATATGACGTAAGAATGAATGATGCTTCATAATAAAGTCATAATAAAGATGCAAAGAAAATGATGCTTCGTAATAAAGTCAAGAAGACAAATAAAAGGGGGCGGGTAACTAGGAGTGAGTGCAATAGCAGATTGGTAGACTGCGGGATCAATGAAAGCGTGAAAAACCTTAACAAACTCCTTTGGGCGACTATTAAAATCTGGAACCATTCATACTTTATTTTTGTTCGCAAATTTTAAAACTATGATTGGCTGAATCATTATGTAAATGACTTCAACATTTTCGAATTATTGCATATATTTACATAGTTTAATACATGTTTTCATTATTATATTCTTTTGTTTTTACCATTTTAAATTCAGAAGAATGTAGAAGGAAGAGAAATGTAGGAACAAATTGTAGAGTAATTTAAATCTGAAATTTTTTTGAGGTGCGTTTTAGTTTTGTGCAAGGCCAATGATTTAGTTCTGTGAGATAGCTACAACTGACATTATTTGTATTTAAAAAGAGAAAGACCTATCTGTATGATTTTCCATGCTTTTTAATGTTCCTTCCATTTTTTTATATTAAAACGGAAAATTATTTTTTTGAGGTGTTAAAGTATAATCTGAATTTTTCAGATTGGGCCGCCAGCGGCCGAGCGGTAAAACCCGAACACTGGTAGTGCGGTCCGGGGTTCGAGTCCCGGCGAACGGGCTGGCTGCATGGGCGTTTTCGTGGTTTTCCCCATGTGTAACGTGGTTACGAGCCAGTTTCCCTTAAAATGACCTCCACGGGGCATCCCTCCCTTTCCGTGTAGTGCCCAAGGGCGGAGTACGTAATAAGCAAAATAAATAAATAAATAAAAGTTTTCAGATTGCAAAGCGTTTTCTTTTTTGGCAGTTGGGTGAGTTCTTAATAAGAAATTTATAGAAATACGCCAAGAATGAATAATCTAGTACCTTTCTATTACGATTTTAGCCACCTAATTACTGATGTATCTAAATAAAACGAATATCCTTTATATAACATTACTTGTTCATATACTGGTAGCCCTTGTATTATATTTTTATGTGATAATATTTTTCTCATTTAAGATAAACCTTATGGTTGCATTGAAACATTAATAAGTTGTAAAATAAATATTTCATTTTCCTTTCGAACAGGTACGTTTTCATAACTAATGCCAGTATCGAATTTAATTTTTTTTTTAATTCCAAAGTTAGCATATTTGTCTTCAATCTTTTGCACTACTAAAGACTGACATAGTGAAAAATGCAGAATATGAATATTTCTTAAAATGATCAGATTGTTAAATGACGCTGCCTAACCACCTGACTAAAGAAACGAACAATATAAGCACAGAACAATATAAGCCTGCACCAAAATAAACAAACAGAATCTGAAAATGTTTAAAGAAAAAAAGAAAAAGAAAAAAGAAAACACTTTATGCTTCTGACGTTCATTTTTAAGACAAAAAAAAAAGATACCTTTGTTAAAATTACTTTTTTTACAATAAATAGTTATTCCGAAAAAATGATAAGTTTATTGTTTTTTGTGATAACAATCATATATAAACTATCTCAGTGATATTTGACTTTATTATATCTATGTCATTACTGCGATAAGATAACTAAAAATGCGATACAAAGTGAGTTACTTACTTCCATATGCTGCTAGAGTGTCGATTTCATTTACTGCTGGGGTTTAATTATTTCACTTAACTCTCTAATTTTGTGATTATTTCCTTTTTAATTAATAATTTCTTTTAAAATGTAGGCAAAGGTTAAAAATTTGGTCGTCCTTCAAAATTAATTTGATCCTTTTAATGTATGTGAAAAAATAAAGATGGGAGATTAAGATTACAGGAACAGCTAGTGAGAATAAGGTAAAAATTATTTCCTTTTATGTACAAATTGAATAAAAGATAATTTCTTTGAATAATTGTTAAAATAGGGATAGATGACTTGTTCTATACTTACATGAATATATGCCATCTTTCAATTATTTTATATGAATTATATTTTATAGGATGTGCTTAGAGCGTTATTGTTCTAAAAATGTAAAATTTTATCTTTTTTATCTTTTATGTCGATAAATCATTTCAAAATGTTTCCCTTTGATAGCAATTTTGGGGTTTAACGAAAGTGTTCTTTTTCACTTATTCTTTATCTTCACTATTCTTATAACTTTTTTATACATAGCTTTTCATTGAGTCTGTTGTTCAATATACGAAATTTGTTATAATTTATAAATTCCCTATATTCTTAAAGAGTCCTCCGAGTTAGTTTTTTATGTTAAGGACGCTATCTTGCTGTATAAATAAAACAACCATTTAAAAATTACAATTAAGTGTACATATTACATACTCAAGTTTTAGTTACATTTAAAACTCAAAAATAACAAACAGTATTTTTGATACATTGAAATAAAAAGTTAAACCTAACAATGAAAAATACTCGTACTTAAAAGTATTTCACACCTGAAACTGATATTTGAAGCTGAATTTAGCGGGCTGTGTTTTTCACACATCTGAGATCACCAGTGTGTGATCATCATCTAATTTAAATCAATTTTGGTCTTGACTGTGGTGATAGTAAAAAAAAATTAATTTTCTAATGCAAAAGGAAGCAAATATTGAGAATGCATTTTCTATTAACAGTAAAGATTCCTTCTCATATGAAGAGCAAATCCATCCTGAACTTTTTTCATACAGCTTCGTTATAATTATTTTCATTAAGCTTCGTTATAAATATTTTCACTAAGACTCTTTTCTCCCAACGAATTATAAAACTGATTTAAAATTGATTCAAAAGATATTTTTTTCGCGGCGTCTGTACCTACGTATGTATGTATATATCTCGCATAACTCAAAAACGATAAACCTCAGAAAGTTGAAATTTTGTATATAGTACTACTATAACATGAAATTGTGCACCTCCTAGTTTGGTTGCAATCGGTCGCACCAAAAGTATATATATATATATATATATATATATATATTATATATTTTACTTAAAGCAAACTTACGTCTCTGATTGGCTTAACTCCCTAAATAATTTATCGTTAAAATTAAATTGAATTACATACCTTTAAGATTTTTAATTTTTAATTTAATTTTTTCTAGATTTATTTTTATATATTTTAATATTAATGTTTGCAAAAAAATTTTTAATATAACAAAGATAGCAGCTTGGCACTCAACTTTACCTACATAAGCGCCATCTATATAATTAATTTGAAGAACACACTTACTTCTCTTTAAAAACACTTTTGCAGACCCCAACGCTCATTTAGTAGGTAAGTTAGAATTAAAATATACTATTTACTTGCTTTCAGTATTTTTTAAAAATTTTTATGTAGTATTTAAGTATTTTCTAGATATGAAATTATATTTTTAAGTATATATTTGTTTTTTAAAAATTGTTAATTAGTTCTTTATGTTTCTTATTGGTTTATATGGATTATGTCTAGTTCTTTTTCAGTTTCTTTTTATTGATATGCATATTCGTGTCGGGGAGGTTTCTGTAGACAAGGGTTTCTAAAATACATTAGTTTCTGGATTATTTTTTTATAAAAAATTAGTTTTTTTAAAAATTTAATTTAAAAAAAAGTTTAATTTAATACTTGACTTTACTTGCTTGTTTCTCAAAAGACTTCATTAGTATTTTCCTTTTAAAACTTTAATTCTTAAATGCTAATTTCTAAGGGTACCACTTTATTGGTATTTCTTTTTGGGCATTCTTCACTTTTTACTTTTGGTTTTGACTTTTACCCTTGCCTGCATGAATGACGAAACACGAATTGAATGATTGGAGAATTAGGTTTGGAGGCAACTTCCCCTTGATAAGTCTGTCTCCTGCCTGCTCAACAGTCATTCACTTATGCATTTTTAAAAAAATTGTTTGGATTAATTTTAATTTGCTAAATTAGTGAATTTATTTTCATGGATTGGTTTGCACTTGATTTGCTTATGCTTCTGAATTTAAATGATATTGTAGCTTAGTTCGAGAATTAAATCTTTTAAATCTTTTATATGTTTACACATTTTTTTTAAATAATTTTTTTTAATATTTTTTTTTTTTTTTTTTTGCTTTAAATTTGCTTTTTTTAATTTTGACTTTAAATTTGCTTTTTTACTTTTTTTTACATTTATACGTGTTTGTTAAAATTTGAATGAATTTAATTTGTTTAAATTTAAATATAAATATATATATAGAATGATCTAAATATATATATATACAATTCCCACTCTGTTATTCGGCTTACCGAGCTCAGTTCTTTTTATTCTTATATGTTGGTAAGTTGTGCATTTTTTGCTTTAAAAATGATTTGAATTGTGTTATTCTTAGCTTCCGGTTAAGGTTTTTATGCCTTTAGTTAATCTGCATGCAGTAGTTGTAGAATTATCAACAATTTAAAAGTTTTTTAAGTGCGGCTAAGCCTATTTTTTTTACCGTAGCAGCCATTGTTTACGGTTGAAACAACAGAATAGTGAATGAAGTCTTTCTCTGCACCTTCAGTGCCTTCTTGCAGAGTAGGAAAAAAAGGAAATTTTACTTTTGTGCACCGAAAAATCTGCCACCTGGCCGAATTGCTTATTTTTGCGTAGAAAATGCAATTTTAATTGTAAACTTTTTAAATTGTTTTAACTGCATTTGGTGTTTCCTGTTTTTCTATATCTTTCAATTTTTAATGAAGATATTTTGAGTTTTTATATATTTTTGATTTTCCGCGTGGAACTTAATTAATTGAATGAGAAATATATGTCTAACAAAATTCGAGCAAATGAGTTTAAATGAAATGCAGGAAAAAATGCGTTAACTTAACATTCCGTACAAAGAAGTCATGTGTGGTGTACACGTCAGATTTTTTTCCTCTTTCAAATCGAATCTTAAAGAGACTTTAATAACACTGACGTAAGAAAGATCATAATAATCAATAGCTGCTGACTTTAAAATTATTTATTTTGAAAACAGCTGTCACATTCATATCATTCAGGAATTAAAAGATCTAAATGTGTATCTACTTTAGTAGCGGAACATACGGAAACTTTATGTTTTTATAACTAAGTATTTCTGAAACTATTTTCCTGAAATTGTGAAATATAAGCAGATAAATGTAATATTATCTGCAGCTTTCATTCCTATATGTATTAAAATACTACATGAATGTATTTACACTGGATCTAAAATTTTATTCTAACAGTTTCTGATAAGCGACTGTAAGCTCTCAATTCAGAATGCTTGCAACTTGCCTTTCATCTAATTGAAGAAATCCGAGTTCTCAGCCAGATAAAGAAAATATTGCAATTATAAAATTTTAAACAGTATTCTGTATATATTATTGCAATGCCTGCATCTGCACATAGCATGTACATCAGCTATAAATAATGAAGTAAGCGAAAATAAATTGTTATTATTATGATGTGTGTTATCATCAGGTTATTATCAATTATGTGTCGAAGTTTAAAATTGAAAAACGTCTGCTACTGATACAGTTTCAAAATAGGTGATATCACTACAATGCACATTTGAATTCCATAAGAACACAGTGTAGCAATGCACGGGATTACAAGCTTCTACTATTTTCTTAAATCTTATTTATTTGTTGGATAAACTCCATGAAATTTTACATTTTTATGATCACCAAGAAAGAAGTCAGTGAGATTCAGACCTATAGGAAATGGTTATCACTCTATATTTCAAATCCTTATTACAACGAAATCGCACACCAGAACAAAAGGCACCATCATTTTCATGCCACATAAGACGAAGCCAACAAAATTAATCAACGAAACTAACATTTCCTTATTATTTGACTCTGAATTTCTTAGTGCCCATCAATAATTCCTTCGCTGAAATCACAATTAATGATGTCACAGTGCTTTTTAGCCCAAAGGGACAATTTGCTGAGAAGGGCTTAATTTCGATTTCGGATTTTGGGTTGGTTCACTGTAAAACGGCTTTTCACTTTCCAAATTGTTGCCACCAAATATTATACCTCTGCATTATATTTAAAGAAATTAAATAAGGAAGAATCTGCATGACTGTATGTATGTTTCTCGCTTTGCAAGAAAACAATGGTATCTAGAGACGTCAAATTTTAAATAACATAGTCCTTCACTCGAATATGAGCAGCTGGAAGCCCAAATTTGAAATTTGTTTTATTAACTATTTCATATTTTGTAAAACATTAGCAAATTTCGCTTAAAAAACTCAACGATTTTAAAGCGAGCTATGGCAACACAGTACGGGGAAGAAAAAAAAAATATCTGTGTATTGGAAATTATTGCTATTGAATTGAATTTTATGGTGAAAATCATGATATTTAATAAATGAAGGTAACACACCAATAAGGGTATTATTATTAGACCAAGGGGCAATTTGCCCAGAACTGTTATTAATTTTGTTTTGGCATTTCGCGTAGTCCACAAAAAACGGCGTTTCGCTTTATAATTTGTTTTGGGAGGGGAAGCAGTAGAAGAGAAAAATATGCAATGCCCTCCCCGTTACTTGAATTCTGGACCTTTCGAATACGCGTTGAATGCGTTTCAGTTAACCAAGAAGGCACATGGAGCAAGAAAATACATAATAACTTCTTGTATTGTGAAACTGTAAAATGTTTTTTTTTTCGGGGGGGAGCAGCAGAGGAGAAAAATGTGCCGTGCCCTCCCCGGTGCTCGAATACGCGTTGAATGCGTTCCAGTTAACCATGAAGGCACATGGAGGAAGAAAATACATAATAACTTTGTATTGTGAAACTGTAAAATGTTCAAGAAAATAAACGAAAAGCTTGATTCTAATAATAAGTGCTAATCCGCGAACTCTCTTGAACGCAGAGAAATTTCTAATTACAGTTTATCCGAAATTTTATTCAATATATCTA